AAGAACATTTTAAAACAAGCAAGGAATGCACTCTTTATATCAACTGTCCAGGTAGCCTTGTGTGTAATCATATTCGCTATACACAACGACACAAAGAAAAGCATGACTGCGTTTGTGTGGGTGTGTGTTGTCATGTTCGCTACACAACTCCAGAGAAAACCATGACTCTGTTAGAGAGTGTGTGTTGGGGGGGAGGGAGGATGTGGCATACTGCGTAGCCACACGGGCCTGCAGGGCCCGTCCCGCATTCTCAGCCTAAAAGCCTAGAAATAAGGGTTTACAGGCCCCATGTCGTTTCAACCTGAAAACTGAAAACGAGGGCCTGCAGGCCCTATTTCGTTTTCAGCCTAAAACAGGGCTTTTCAGCCCCGAGGCTTTTCAGCCTGAAACGGAGGGCCACTTTCGGGCCCTCGTAAGATCAACCTACCCTAACACTCAGGCACAAAACCAGGGTTTCGGGAACAGGCTACTTCTGGCCTGTTCCCACGACAGCCTCAAGCAGGAGCTGCAGCGGCAGCCCCTGACTCCCTTCGGCATTGGCAAGAGCAGCCTCCTGGACTGCCTCGCCCTGCAGTCAGGAGGCAGGCCGAGAAGTTCATAGGGAGTTCCCATGCACTTCACGGGTAGGGAGTGGGACAGACGGCAGGAGTAGTCTTCAGGATTCGGCCGCAGCACTCAGGAGGAGCGCTGCAAGAGTAGCTTAGCGCTAGCAGTAGTCTTCAGCGCTGGGCGCTAGTAGCCACAGCAGTAGTCTTCAGCGCTGGGCGCTAGTAGCCACAGCAGTAGTCTTCAGCGCTGGGCGCTAGTAGGTGGTAGTAGTAGCGTTGGGAGAGATGGCTGGCGCAGGCCAGTGAGACTTACCTGTGGCGCCATAGCTCCAGCTCCATCTTCAAGGTACCTGCATCAAGGCGCCAACTTCACAGGTTAGTACCGGACTGAGAGAGAGAGAGAGAGAGAGAGAGAGAGAGAGAGAGAGAGAGTTCTTCTTCTTCCTCTTCTAAGTACACCATCTCTTCTTCCCCTCTGACCACCTGACTTCTCAGTATCAGCGGACTACGACAGAGAGAGAGAGAGAGAGTTGTGACTTGAGACTTGACGACATTGGATCCAGACTCGACATTGGGATTCAGACATTTTGACGAGGGACTATTTGGGCCTGTGCCGAAGACTTGGTGTTGACGACATTCCCATCTTCCCCTCTTCTTCGTCTAACCCCCATCTCCTTCGTCTGTGTATGGTTGGGGCTGGCGCATTCTTCCTGTGTGAGCGCCAGACCCCTTCACACCATGGAATGATGAKGATGATGTATGTTCGGGGCTGCATTGCAATATTGATTGTTCAGATCATTGGTATCTAAGTCTTCCGCTATGCTTTCTTGTACTTTGTATTGAGAGGTCGGTTCTTCTTCTGGGCTGCACCGTTACAGTATGCAACAGAGGAGGGGAGAGGGAGGGTGAGGTATAAATGCCGCTCAAAAAATGGGCAAATCAGTCAGTTAATCACCCCTTCGCTGACACTGGTGGACAGACTGTATAGGAAGGTCAGGAACAGGTTCCGACGAGTAGCAGCATGATCGTATAGCAATTTTACTTTATTTTTTTCCATACCATTTGTGGACATGAGCGCCACGTGGCCCAAAACAAATTGTGACCACGTCGACGGGCATTGACCACTTTTTTTCCTTTTTTTCTTTTGGATCATAAAGGCTTGAACCACACCAGCGATCGCGAAAATATACAATCTTGCTGCTGCTGCTACCGTCTTCCCCCTAAGTGGAGAGAATTGAACCATCTACCGAACTCCTAGATGAGTTGCTTTGGGTATTTTTGTCAAAACCATCGGGAAAAATTAGAGTGTCCGAGTTGAACTTTAATAATCGGAGGTGTCACTTCTACTGGCCCTAACGTCCGTCTTTTCCGTACTTTCCAAGCCTGTTTTCAAACCAACTGGACGTTGAGTGCGAAAATGCACGTCAGCCTTCGCGCGGCATTTCCCACCTTGACCAGTTGACACAGAACGAGACCTCAAATTATATTCAATTTAATAATGAAATTAAAAATAAGAAATAGAATTGACAATGATAAAAAGGAACTTCAAACGAATGATTATTCGACGATTGAGATGTTCTTGCTTGATGACGATTTTCGCTGTGTGAACCGTGATTTTGCCTATTTACTATCGATATTATGGCCCTTAAGAATTATCAGCATTTGATTTTATGAGTGTGTCATGTGCCGCGCGAGACCTTATACCCTTACACTTGTGTGCATGTGAGTTAACGAGTGCTGCGCGGGACTGAGGGTTCCCTGTGAGTTGGTACTTCACGCTGCGAGCTGGTTATGGGAATAACAATTTTGTTCCGGTACGAGCAGCGTGGGTCATGAGAGGCATGACACAAACTACAGGGTTGAGGTGATTGATTTACTGACATTTATTTCAGCAGTACTGGTTTCTGGTTACAACGACGGTCCAGCAGAACGGATAAACTGATCACGGCCGCTTTGAAACGGTTTTCACCTTTGCAGAGGCAGATGCAGATCCCGGGGTTTGATCCCCAGACCTTACCTCACCCATGTACAGTATCGAGTTGACCCTTGAGTGCTTGAACCCGTGACCTGTGTYTCGTGAGTTGTTGTTTGTCTGTCGTAGGACTGTGTGGACATAGGGATTCGATCTGTAGACCTGTCGAGTAGAGGTCTTAGAGAGTTCCAGAAGTCGTAGCTGTAGATGTCCTGAAGGGTCAAAGTCGTAGCTGCTGCAGTCCTGAGAGGTCAAGGTCGTAGCTGCTACAGTCCCGAAAGGCCAAGTCCACAGACTTCCAGAAGGTCCGGAAGTGGCCTTTCGCAGCTTGCTCACGTTTTAGGCTGAGGCAAGTGGGCAAGTGGGCAAGTGGGCAAGTGGTGGACCAACTGCAGTACGTTCGCAGTACGATAGCGGTAAGTTAGCAGTGTGTCCCCATGCAGTCAGCGGTACGGTCCAGTCAGTCCCAGTCCAGTCCAGCAAGTACCATGGGGGACTGTGTGCACCATGGGCTGATGGAAAGGGGCAGACCAACGAGTTACAGAAGTATAAATCAAGAGGCAGCGCACAGCCATTCATTCATTCCTGCGGAAGCCATGCGGAAGCGCTGCCACGGTGACTTGTGAGAGGTGGTCTGCAGAGGAGCCTGACGTCGAAGTGGGCTACAGTCTTCCCCCGAATACAACGTACGGTCATTATAGCTGAATTTAGACTGAAAGATACCCCACATTCAGCTATAATGATCGTACGTTGTATTCGGGGGAAGACTGTAGAGGGAGTTAGCGCAGCCATAGCTGCTTGTAGAGTAGAGTTAGCTGGCGGCCATAGCTGCCATAGTTAATAGTAGGTGTGCATTCGTGTGTGTGCAGAGTGTGTGTGTGGGGTATACAGGGTGATCCGGAGTTGAAGTGTGAAGTGAACAGTGGTGTTTGACACAGTGACAAGAGTTCCGATGTGTGGGTGCTGATGCACCATAGCCTGTTGAAGCGAGCTTACATCTGAACTGTGTTTTGGTTTCCATATCTTCGAGCTTTGAGTTGGGCGCTAGGCGCCAGTGTGATTCACCATCTGTTTGTATGCATGTGAAGTGACGAAGTATGGGAGTCTGATTGCACTGGTATCGGAGCTGGTACCCGCTACTCCATGCGCATCGCCGTTGTAGCAAGAGAGAGACGCATGTGCACCATAGCTGAAGTGCGCCACCTTTGAAGAAGTCTGCCATAGCTGCGCTGCGGAAGAAGCTGACGCGCACCTGCGCAAGAGGACAACGACGAAGAGAGAGAGAGAGAGAGAGAGAGAGAGAGAGAGAGAGAGAGAGGCTGAGCGATACAAGACTGGTTACCACGTACCTGCGCTGAAGATCGTTGTGCGGTCCAAGAGAAAGTAGCGGCCATAGCCGCGGAGCTCGGGACACGAGGAAGCATAGACGAGGGAGGTGAAGTATAGACTAGGGAGGAGACATAGACGAGGAAGCAGGAAGGAGGGAAAACAAAGGTGAAGACAGACATAGCCGTGGGTGAACAAAAAAAAAAAAAAAAAAAAAGGGCGAGGAACAAGAAAGGTGAAAGGAGGAGGAAGAAAAAAGAGGTTGGCGAGGAAGAAGGTGCCGGCAGCCATAGCCGACAGAGGGTTAACCGAGCGTTGACCAGAGGGTTGACCGAGCATTGACCAAGCATTGACCAAAGGGTTGACCAGGCGTTGACCAGAGGGTTGAGGGTTGACCAGAGGGTTGACCAGAGGGTTGACCGGGCATTGACCGGGAGTTGACCAAGGCGTTGACGGGAGCTGCTGACCGCGACTCTGACCAAGCTGGAGTTGGTATAATCTCGCCAAGCACTTAGCCTATCCCATCGCCCTACGGATGTGCACTCAACCTATGGTACTTGCTGAGTCTGAGTCTGTCTGTCTCTTCTTTCTGCATTGAGTCTCTTCTGTCCAGGTGATAGGGCTCCGTGTATGAAGGATAGGGCCTCGTTGACCAAACCCCTGCCGGGCTGAGTAGGGCTAAAGGCTGTGTCTGACGACTCGACTGTCCCGGAGGACACGAACCCTCCCAAGGACCGGTACTGACCGGCGGGCTGCTCGGTGTGGCACGGTAGGCCCGAAATCTGAGCTGTGGGCTGCACAACGGACCATCTACATTTTGAGAGAACCTGCTGATCTCGTCGTCCTGTCTGCGACGTTAAAGAATTCTTGAGGAGTTATGGGGGATCTCCTTAAATGCCTCCTGATCAGCAACAGGTTCTGTAGTGACGGCTGTAGTTTAGAGTCTAGGCTAGTGCCACTAGTTGACAGGGTCTGAACCGGAGTGAAAGCCAGGTGGGTTTGACCGCAGGTGCTGGGCATCGGGGTCTGGATTGCAAGGACTGTGGTTGCGAAAGCTTCCGTCGGCCGTGGTAATCTGGCTGGAACGAAGGGTAAGATTTTGTAGTCCATAGAGAGTCAGTCAGTCGTAAGTTAAGTAGGGGGGACGTCTAAGTGGTGAGGAGTGGAACCGCTACTTGGTTGTGCATCTATCACCATGGTTGACACACGTACCGGAAAGAGCACTTCCCCTTACACAGCTGAAGAGGAGGCAAAGGCCGCCGCCATCCTCAAAGAGAGAAGAGAGAAGAAGGAAGCCAAGAAAAAGGCCTTGATCGAGGAACAGGCGGCGAAGTTGAGAAAGATTGAGGAGGAGATGGCCAGAGAGAAGGAGAGGCTAAAGAAAGAAGAGGAAGATAAGTTAAAGGCGGTGGACGAGGAGGATGAACAGGAGGTACCACTGGAAAGAAGAAGAAGGGAGCAAAGAGGGGAATCCAGTGGTACACAAGCTGATCAGTTGGAGAAGAAGATTTCAGAGTGGGTGGCCAATTTGTCCCTCCGAGAAGACGAGGAAGCAATAATGTATGTGCCCAGGGAAGAACAAGAGGCGGCTATGAAAAAGTGGGAGGCAGAAGAGGACCCACTCAAGCGACAAATCATAGAAGATGATAAGAGGATGGAGTGGAAGTTCCGCCTAACAAGAGAAAGGAAAGCGAGAATGGAAGCAGTGAGTCAGGCGGCAAAAGAGTTGGAGGAGGTGAAAAAGCAGAGAGAGCAGATTGCGGCGAAGGAGGACCTGTTGGGGAAGATGGAAATTATGGCGAGAAATATAGAGCGCCTGACGTAGGCCCAGGAAGAGCACTATCAGTTCTCTAGAAGTCAGGATATCACCCTGCGTTCAATATGGCTGGGGTCCGAGGAGTTTCCACGGGAATTAGTGGGCGTGGTGGGCTTAGAGGTAAAAGCCCGCCTGGAGTACACGGAGCGTTTTTGCACAGGCGCCATAGAAGGCGCCAGGATGGCTGCACCCAAGGGCGAAGAAGTACGCCCTAGTAGAGAGCCTGTCAAAGTCAAGTTTCCCGATTCCTACAGTGGGAAGAGGGAGGAGAACTTGACAACTGGGAGGCCAATGTCAAGACCTATGTGCACTTGCAAATGGTCTCTCCAGATGAGCACGTTTTAATAGCCATCCACGCCCTGAAAGAGGAAGCCGTCAGTTTTGCCCGTTCCCTGGTCCATGCCACAAATTGCAACGACGATTTGGTTGCTTATTCTGCCTTCACTCCCCTCAGCGACTTGCTTAAGTTGCTGAGAGAACGGTTTGCAGACGTGACTCATAATGTCCAGGCATCTGATAAACTGCAAACCATCCACTCCCGCCAGTGGAAGAGTGCTAGGGCCCTTAAGGGGGTAATGGATGAGTTAGTTGTCGTCCCTGACCATGGGGTCACTAAGACCCAACTGGTCAATCTCTTCTACCGCGCTATGCCCGAACAGTTGCGCGGGCACTTCTTTAAAACGAGTCAGCAACCTACCATGACCTACGACGCTTTGAGCAAGGAAGTGGTAACGTTTGAGGCAAGGTCCGCGTCAGTTTCCACTTTCTGGCACAAGGACTTGGACAAGGGAAAAAGATGGAAGGGTCGCACTATCTCTAGACAGGTTAAGACCAAGGATCGTTTGATCCTTACGTTAGATGAGGGTAGTGTCGACGAGGTCCCCTACGAGCAGATAGAGTGGGGCCTAGATGTGGAGCAAGAGGACAGTGACGCCAGTCACGGGAGGACTTACGCTGTTGTCGCGGTCGGAGGGAGGCCGCAAGGAAGAGGAGGAGGTCAGGGCCAAGGGGGTTGGGCCTCAGGTGCCCGTTCCCAGGGCGATTAGGGGGTTCCGCGTCAGTTTCCACTTTCTGGCACAAGGACCTGGACAAGGGAAAAAAGTGGAAGGGTCGCACTATCTCTGGACAGGTTAAGACCAAGGATCGTTTGATCCTTACGTTAGATGAGGGTAGTGTCGACGAGGTCCCCTACGAGCACATAGAGTGGGGCCTAGATGTGGAGCAAGAGGACAGTGACGCCAGTCACGGGAGGACTTACGCTGCTGTCGCGGTTCGAGGGAGGCCGCAAGGAAGAGGAGGAGGTCAGGGCCAAGGGGGTTGGGCCTCAGGTGCCCGATCCCAGGGCGATTAGGGGGTTGGCGGTAGAGGAGGAAACCGCCAAGCGGGAGGAAGGAGTCAAGGTCCCCCGCAAAACCGTTCTGGTAATTGTTCACCTAATAGGGGTAATAGGTCACCCTATAGGAGAGGTGGTTGGCACCCAGGTCTGCCACAAGGCCGACCTTGGGAGGATTTGGGCCTGGACCAGCGCGTCTGGCAGCAGCGTGTGGATCAGGGGCAGTGCGTATTTTGCGGTGACCCTGGCCACATCATTCGATTTTGTCCAAAGTATAGAGAGGCTCGATGGGCTGCCCAGCAGGCAAAAGGCAGCCGCCGGTAGGGGTCGCAACTGCCCCTACCATAAGGCCATGTGGGGAAACGAGCGCGAGCCGGCAAGAAACTCCCACACCACATGAACCTATGGCAGAGGTTGCAGGCCGGTGCCCAGATAGTTGTCCAGAGACTGCTTGTGTTAGATTCTCTCTAGGCACCTCCCTCACAGGCGTGGCGGACGAGTTGAGGGAGAGAATGCCCGCCTGGGCCAAGATGAAAAAGGAGAGTAAAGGACAGCTAGTGTTAGTAGATGTAGAAGTTTTCAGAAGCAGAGTAGGAACCCTTATAGATTCAGGGGCTACCCGTAGTTATATTAGTCGTAGAGCGTTGAGGAAGTTGAGGCTAGGGTTAAAAATCCAAAAGTTAGAAGACCCCATAGTAAGTGTCCTCGCAGACAACCGCACTATGTGTGTTGAGGACGTATTTCCGCCTAGAGAAAGATGGGAAAGTGGAGGAAGTTCTTCATTCCCTGACTCTCCTCGTAGAGGATGACCTTCCTTTCGATACAGTCCTAGGTATGGACCGAGGAGAGGCAGAGGGGGCACTTTCCACTTGAGAGAGCATGAGTGTAGGCTCCCTACACCGTCAAGCGAGATTAAGACTGCCCGTCTGTTCCATGCGTCAGGTGTAGATAACACCCTGGCACATTGCTGTCTCAGTGCTCCTGCGTTTGCCCGATTGGTGAAAAAGGAGGAATTAGAGGAACAAGTCTTCGTAGTTTACGTCAGGCCTGTTACTGAGCCTAAGGAAGAGAAGCCCATTGACCCAGCTATTGCCAAGCTGTTGGAAGAGTTTAAGGACTTAGCAAAGCCGCCGACAGGAGTAGTGTCGCGGCCGATCCAACATCGTATAGAGATAGAGCCTGGCAGTAGAACTCCCAAAGGAGCAGTGTACAGGATGTCCCTGCGGGAGTTGGAGGAGCTCCATAAGCAACTAGACGAGCTCCTAGAGAAGGGTTGGATTAGGCCCAGTTCGTCTCCATTTGGAGCACCAGTTTTATTTGTCCCCAAGAAGGAGGGAGAACTTGGAATGTGTATTGACTATAGGGGTCTCAATGCCATCACACTGAAGAATGCACAGTCGCTGCCCCGTATAGATGATCTTTTAGACCGGGGATGCAAGTACTTTTCAAAGATGGATTTGATGTTCGGACATCAGATAGAGGTCCATCCTGATTATCAATATAAAACCACATTCCGGACTAGGTATCGGCACTATGAGTTTATAGTCATGCCCTTTGGACTAACCAACGCGCGAGCGACCTTTCAGCGTTGTATGAATGACCTGTTTAGGCCGTGGTTAGATAGATTTGTAGTAGTGTACTTAGATGATATTATAGTATTCAGCAAGACCCTCCAAGAGCATCAGGGTCATCTGAGGCAGGTCTTGGAGAAGCTGAGAGAAGCTAAATTCAAGATCAACCCGAAGAAGTGCGAATGGGCAAAGACCCAAGTTTTGTACTTAGGCCACGTCTTAGACGGAGACGGCATTAAGCCAGAGGATAGCAAAATCGCAGCGATTAGGGATTGGCTTACGCCCCGCACGCTGACAGAGTTGCGATCGTTCTTAGGCCTAGCAAACTACTACAGGAAGTTTGTGACAAACTTCTCCACCATCGCTGCACCCCTTCGCAGATTGCTGAAGAAAGAAACAATCTGGAAGTGGGATAAGGACTGCACGTCTGCCATGAAGAAGGTGAAGCAGGCGTTGATATAGAGTATCCAGTCCTTAAGGTCGTCGATCCGTCCTTACCTTTCGTTGTTACCACTGACGCGAGCCAGTATGGCATAGGTGTTGTACTACAGCAAGACGATGGCAGCGGATATAGACCCGTAGAGTTGATGTCTGCTAGGATGCCTTCAGAGAAGGTAGCGACATCCACCTACGAGAGGGAACTCTACGCTCTCAAGCAAGCACTAGAACACTGGAAGCACTACTTACTCGGGAGGCACCTCAAAGTCTATTCAAACCACAAGACGTTAAGGTGGCTGAAGATGCAGGCCAAGATGACACCTAAGTTGACCAGGTGGGCCGCCGAGATAGACCAGTACGACTTTGAGCTCAAGCCAGTTAAGGGCAAGTACAATGTAGTTGCGGATGCTCTAAGTAGGAGGTCAGACTACTTGGGGGCGATAGTCCAGATAATGGATATAGGGAAGGACCTGCAACAGAAAGTTAGAGAGGCATATGCGCAGGATCCTATCTATAGCGACCTTCTTAAGAGAGTAAAGGAGGCCCCAGAGACTGAACCACATTACCGCACTACAGAGGGTTTGTTATTTGAGAAGACTGATGTAGTAAACCGCTTGTGCGTCCCCAACAGTGAAGAAATCCGTAGCCTGATCTTAGGGGAATGTCACGATACAGAGGGGCACTTCGGTTGGCAAAAGACTCTAACCAATCTGATGCGCGCGTATACTTGGCCAGGGATGAAGGCCGACTGCATAGAGTACATCCGCAGTTGTTAGGTCTGCCAAAGGAATAAGACTACTACGCGTGCCCCTCTAGGTCTTCTCAGACCCCTGCCTATTCTTGACCAGCCCGGGGATTCAGTGTCCATTGATTTCATGGACACTGGCGTCAAGAGTAGGCATAGTAAGAGCCAAGTCATGGTCATAGTAGATTGATTTAGCAAGTATGCAGTTTTTGTTCCGTTGCCTGCGGAGGCACGTACAGAGTTAGTAGTTCAGAAGTTCTATGATCATTGGGTCAGTCAACACGGGATTCCGCTGTCTATAGTTAGCGATAGAGACACCCGGTTCACTAGTCAGAACTGGCAGGAGTTGATGAGAGTATATGGCTCCAAGCTATTGACGTCATATGGCTGTCATCCAGAGACTAACGGTCAGACTGAGCAAATGAATAAGCTCCTACAGCAAGTTCTGAAAATGTACATTAGACCTGATCAGACTAACTCGGATGAGATGCTCCCAAAGGTAGCCAGTGCCTACAATAACAGCGTGCACTTATCCACGTGTCGCACTCCCAACCAGTTACACAAGTCCTTTAGACCACGCAGACCGTTTGAGGGACTTAACCGGGATCAGATTCATAGGCTACCGCCCGGTACTAGGGAGTTTGCATTACAGCACGAGAAGGAGTTAGCTACCGTGGTAGAGAACCTCAGGAAGGCCCAACATAGAATGATAGAGCAAGCCAATAAGCATCGTCGCCCGTCACAGTTTCAAGTAGGTGACTTAGTCTGGGTCAAGTCTAAGGAGTTTGCTCCTGAGGTGAATATCTCGCCCGCAAAAGCTATTGCCCGCGTATAGAGGACCGTGGCCAGTTCTAGAAGTTAAGGGCAGAGAGGATGGGTCGTCCTATACAGTAGAGATTCCAGCGCACCTCCACACCT